AATACATTATGTGTTAAAAAAAAAAAAGAAGATAGTAGGAAGGGGAAAATGAAGGGGGGGAATCAGAGGGGGAGACAAACCATGAGAGACTATGGACTCAGAAACAAACTGAGGGTTCTGGGGGGGGGGATGGGTTAGCCTGGTGATGAGTATTAAAGAGGGCATGTATTGAATGGTTCACGAGGTGTTATACGCAAACAATGAATCATGGAACACTACATCAAAAACTAATGATGTAATGTATGGTGATTAACATAACATAATAAAATAAAATTTAAAAAAAAAAGAAAAATGGCTTTGGCACATTTATAATTGCTCTGTTAGAAACCTGCTTACACATAGTTATAGCATTGCACAGATCCTGACTGAAATTCCTGAATGAAATCACTGATTCTTCTGCAATCATTAATATACTCCTGTGTAATATTTCCAAAAAGGAAGATACAATCAGGAAATCACATCTTAATTTGAGTTCTTATGATTGTATTTACATGAGTCATTCTAGTTCAAGGTCAGAGTGAAGATCATTGAGCTTTTGAAAGACTTTGTGGTGTTTAACATGTTGCATTCAATGAGATTTTTGAACGGATATATTTCTACCACACTTAAGTGTTTTAATTTAATATTTACAAGTTGCTTCCACTGGTCTCCTGTTTTCAGCACATACAACCCCCACATGAAAGAAAGCTAATTCAGAATAAACAGAACTGATCATTTAATAATAATAATGTATGTAAATAATATATAATAATAATAGATTTGTTAGGAATGTGTCAAATTAATTACCTTCAAAAGTGAAAAATTCATGTTGATCACTCATGAGAAAAATAAGTACATTTCATAGCTAAGACAAATTTTTGTTAGTATGGATAAAAATGAGAATTAGGAAAAAATATCTTAAGTATCTTTGTGAGTTACAGACAGAGTGAGTTGATAATCAACATCTATAATGTTCAACTCATTTTTTAAATTAAGTTGATGTTAATTTATTGCTGCATACAAAAAATACAGAACTGTATAACTCTAGAAAATGTGAAGTGTCACATACATTGTTTTAGGAGTACAATTTGACTTTCTTTGTTAAATTAATAGTCTACAAAATAACCTATGTTATGAAAAATCTATTCTTCATTCCTTCCCCATTGTTTTGTCTTACCATGTTTTCAATGAATCACTGAAAAATACATGGAAATGTATTTTAGAGCATTTTATGGAGTACATTGATTAAACAGTTTTCATGGGTAATTTTAATATTGTTTTTGAGATAGTTATTGGTAATATAAGTTCCAAGATGACTTTTTTTACATCCTCAAAAATAATGCAGTAATGGTCAAGATCAGTCTCAGACTTAAACACTTATTTCTGTGGTCTGCTTCTTCACTCCACAGATCCTAACGATTCCTGTGAAGGCTGTAATTGCAGTGGGTTCGCTGACTTGCTTCCCAAAACATATGGTTCTTCCACCTTCCTTTCCAGTAAGAGATTTAATTTGTAGATTTTTTTTATAATTTTTTTCCTTTGCCTTTACCTCTGTGTTCCTAGAATCCAACAGTAAAGTCAGTTATTCTTTATTCGTAGCTTATTTTAAGGTAAGACATTGAACCAGGTTCCATAGGAGGTATAAAGAGGAATAAGAAATAGTCCCTTCTTTCAAAAAG